GGAAGTTTTTTTTCAAGAAATGCACTTTTATGTAAATATTGCGCAATCAACATTTTAGTTTGCATTTGATTTGGAATTATGGTATGTTGTTTTATAAGGTTCAGATAATTTTTAGAAAAAAAATATCATACAAGTACCAGAAAAGGGCATTTTGTTTCATTCTAGCAAATTTTAGGAATGTCCAGTTTTGACCTTTGACCTTGATTTAACGAAAATTGCACCGTACGAATTATTGACGACCGTGCAAAACAGAAAGTACGATAAATAAGCGTTCGAATGATATATAATATAGCCGTATGTTAGGTGGGTGCATTAAAGTCGTTAACTAAGCGTCTTTTTTGAAAACTGTCACTCGTCTACTAACATTTTATAAGAAATGGATGTCATTACAACAGTGCATTTATAATAGTTTGCTTACTTTTGTCATATTTTGTTGTTGTATGTTGTGAAATATTGATGATTTTTTTTCATTTTAATGTCATATCCTGAAATCACTGCCAATTTAAACTAACAATGTTAACCACTTTCGTTATTTTGAGCGATACTGAGACGTTTTTATCTGTTTTTAAATTGTTTACTCCATTACAGATCACCATTGCCTCTTATTGATTGATAACTGTTATATAGATATCGATTTCACCATTGCTTGATCAAGCACCTGTCAGTCAAATTCGATTGAATTGAAACGCTTTAACTTTACATCCAATAAAAGGATACACTTACATTCATCAATAATCAGATGATGAAATCACGATATTTTTTTATACATGCTACATTGTAGTGCTAACGAAACTAATTCTAATTAAAATGTGTATTCTTTTTGTCTCGTAGTCATTTATTCTTATAGTCAATTTATGTGTTGATATTTTAACGTTATATGTTTCAAGAAAGAGCGGTTGAAGGACATTTGGCTGCATTTGGCAGGTATATATCATAGAGACAGTTACACAAAGATATACAAAAGAAAACACCTTATGGCCACGTACGGTCCTTAGAAAAACGCTTGTATCTTAATAAGACGTCAATGCTCTAGATCTTAATTGGTCAGTGCAGTACATTGATACCTAGTTGAGTATTATATGATTGTGTATTTTCAATTTGTTCTTGTAATATAATGGATAAAATAAAAGGTTGACTTAAAGGGTAGATTTTGCAACTGTTCATGCTTGACAGCAGTTCACAAAAAGTGCGAGTTAACACATAAAATAGAATAAAAGGAGATATGGGAAATACGTCAATAGAAACCCAACGACAAAAAAAAAAACAAAAGACATCTACTATATAAAATATGGAGATGTGTTATGATTGCGAATGAGGCAACTATCATAGAGAGTTCAAATGACGTTAAGCAACTATAGGTCACTGTACAGCCTTCTACAAGGAGCAAAAACCTTACCGCATAGTCAACCATAACAATTATCAACATGACAAAATGAGAAACAATTCAGACGAAAAAACTACAGCCTTATGACGAAACAATTAACAAAAAAACAAATATAACAGACAGCAATCAATCACCACTGAATTACTGGCTATTTTCTTTGGACAGTCACTTATATAAAAAATGTGGCAGGGTTAAACATGTTTGTTAGCGCTCAACCCACCACCTTAAATAGGAGTACTCGCATTTACTGAATGCTAGTCCATAGCTAAATGAACTACATAATTCATGTTCTCCCAGACTAAAGTATCAATCATTACACACCGAACGGATTGATTGACAGTCCTCGGATCTGGACAGGTGTCTATATGCCAACTCTTCCCCAGACTCCAAATATTCACTATCATATATCTTGAGCACTGTAGATCATCTTTATATATTATAACAATCTCTGATGGTATCGTACTGGTAAACTCTCGTTTGAGGGATTTTACATTTGTCATTTCGAGGCCGTTCATAGCTGGTTATGCGGTATGTGATTTGCTCATTGTTGAAGGCCGTACCTATAGTTGCTTCTACGTTATTTGGTCTCTGGTGGAGAGATGTCGGTTGCTGAACGTCCAGTGGCAAATATTTCATGCATGTTCAGGACAAAGTAACAAATAAAGAATGACAATTTAAATCATCGAGTGCGGGTGGCCGTGGGTTTGAACCCCGGCTGGGTCAAGCAAGCCAACGCTTTTTAAATTGGTACTTGCTGCTAAGCACCCGGCATTAACGAGTAAGACCAAAGACGGGTTATTTCGGAGTCAGAACAATATGTCCGGATAGAGTTACACGTCTTTCTGTGGACTTTTGATTTGTGAACTAGCACGTTAACAATCCTGCTCAGCATATCTATCTAGTACAAAACATCGTTATTGTTCATATCGCCTTTATATGTTTTCGTCCTGAATAGCCATATCTAATTCGCCGCTGAACGTTAAATAGACATCCGTCATCATCACACAAGCATTTAATAATGGATTTTACATTTTGCTTGTTGAAATTAAATTTACATTAAGTTCTACCGAATAAAAACACACCAATAAACTTCGTCCAGAGGGTAAAACAAATAGCAGTACATTATATCTGCTCAGGTATGCATATTCATAACACAGTAAAAAATTACACTTATTCCATTCAATCATACTATCACTCCTCGAATGTCCTTTAAAGTTGATTGGGTCTATCAAATGAAAGAGGAATACAATTCCTTAACTCCAATAATAAAACATAATAGTAGCAATTGGGTAATTACTATCAAGTACAAATAAAACTAAAGGCAATGTATATAGAATGAATCTCTTTATATAAAGAGGTGGTGACCTTTCTTATCAAAATTCAATTTGAAACACCTTAACAAATTAAAAAATATATCAACCATCGTTAGCCAAATGAATAATATGATCATACAAGCTAATAAAGATGGCTTCCGCAATAGAAACAAAATCAAATAAAAAATACGATAATTATGAGGATAATGAATTAGTGTTCAAAGTCCAGTGGCAAATGTTATATGCATAATACGACGAGAACATGTTTACGTGATACGCATATGCTCCATGCTTATTACAAGACTTGTATCGTGCGGATTCCCAAGGTTTTAGTCGTGTCAAGATACACGGACCGATTATTCAGACACCTAGTTGATCAAAATGTACGTGTATACTAGTAACTGCTCTTACTCTACGATGCCGCGTGCTTATCGTAAAACATACTGTTTTAGCCTTTGGTTGGAAATTACACAAACAAAATATCAATGAATTAATTATTATTTTATAACACAAGTAACTGATACATGAACCAAGCCAGTAGTATATCAAACAGATCTAGATTACCTGCAACCCCAAACGCTATCAAAAGGCTACGACGCAATTTTATAAAATCATTCTGAAAAAAAAAAAACATTTAAAGAACCAGTTGATACCAAAACCTCGTAATGATTGCGTTTGGAGATATGCATATTTGACAAAACTAATTGAGGCTTCATTAGCTACAACAACAACTAAAAATATAGTAATAATCACTTTACAGGCGAATCATTTAAACAACAGACGGACACACCAATAACTAGAAATCAGCAGTAACGAAGAAAAAAGGGGATTAATTTTCATTAATACGTATCTTTTTGAAGCATTATTTGAACACGTTGAATAGACAAACGAAAACTGATGATGCAAAATTACATATCGGGTTTTGTAACACATAATGAAATCATCTTAAAATATATACTCAATTTGTTTAATTAATTAAACAGAAATTAGTTTCCAATAGATATAAGAAGATGTGGTATGAGTGCCAATGAGACAACTCTCCATCCAAGTCACAATTTGTAAAAGTAAATAGTATGCATTAGCGTTTACACTTCGAAATGCTTTGAACCCTAAGTGTTTACTGAAATATATGTTCGACCCTGGACTTCTTCCGTCCGGTATATAAACCCTTGAGAAAGTGTGGTGTCCGCATTACTGTGCGGGATGTATTAAGAGCCAGTCTGCCATAAAACCATGCAAAATCCCAAATTTCGTCCAAATTGGTAGTTACAACTTGCCAAAATTATATATATTTCCAAAAACTTTAGGTATTCAGGAGTTAAGATAAAAAAAATTTGTTTTGTTAATTTGCGCTATTTTCCATTAAACCGCCTAATTTGCATATTAGTGAATTATTTAAAAAAAATTGCTAAAAATACACCGTATTTAGGCACTTTTTAAGGGTCTGGATAATTGATATAGCTCTTAAATGAATTATTATTTTTAACATATTTTGAAGGAACATTAGTTAATAACCAAAAAAATATTTTTTTGAGAATTTCTGACCTTTTGGCAGGTTGCCATATATACATGTAAATGGAAAAAGGCATTTATTTCTAATACATGTAGATATGTCATGTATGTGATATATGCAACACGCACAACCACCATCTAATTGCGAGCTGTAAATTACCAGAAATGAGTCATTAAATATAAAAAAAAAAAAACCTGCACTACATGTACATGTATATATGGTCAAGATACAAAAAAATGTAAATTATACATTTCTATTGAAGCAAGGACATACCAGCGGCACCTACAATATATTCCTTAGTTGGAAAGGGCACAGTGTCACATAAATGTAGTGAGGTTAAACTTGTTTTGTTTTTGTCACTAAAATCTCAATTCCCCTTTTATTTGTCTGAAATGAAAGCACAAAATATAGGTTTTTATAGGGTGTGAGTTTCTCATTTGAAGTTGTATGACGTTTTACATGTAGTCTTGATATTCATTCTGCTTACTGACTTTAATAATGTCTCCATCATGTCCATGTATTCAAATGAAGCATCCCTTTTTGTACATAAATTAGTTTTAACCTTTTATTTGATAAAACAGATTTGTCTATTATAATTTATTCACTGGCATCATGCCGTAGAACAACAGGTTTATAAATTGATTGATTGTTTACACCTGAAACATTGTTCATCTGGACATTGACATGATCGTGTTTTATTGGTGTTTTAGTGTGTATGGTACCATTGACTGGCTGCATTTTTTCACAAAGGCATACATTGTAGGTCTCTACAAGCAGTGTTTTACCACGCCCAAGATTAGACAAACAGTAGCTGATGGAGGAATCATAGTTGATACAAAAAAGATTATGGTAAGAAAACATGCATGTATGAGAATGTTATTGCATTTATAAAAAAAAGAAGTGATTTGAAATGATTGCAAATGTGACAATGCTCCACAAGAGACTAGATGACATAAAAATTAACAACTATAAGTCACTGTATGGCCTTCAACAATGAACAAAGCCCATACCGCATAGTCAGCTATCAAAGGCCCAGAAATCACAAATGTTAAACTATTTAGAATGAGTAAATATATGTACAAAACAATGAACGAAAAACATATATGGTATACAGCAACAAACAACAACCACTTTGAGGTTAAATTCGTTTGAAGGCGCCAACCCTCATCTAACCTGAGACAGTAGTGTAACAGTACAACATAAGAAATCAGTCATGTGTCAGTTGAGGCTTAACTCATCAGATTGACACAAAGCATAAATACATCTAACAAAATCAGAGATCGGATGTGGCAGGGTTCTTATACATCACCACATAGTTTATTCACAGGGGCAATTGAAAGGCATTTTGAACATTTTAAACTGATTGTAAAATGTACAGAGATACATTTAGTGGGAAGGGGTGGAGGTAAGGGAATCATGAGACGACCAGTGGTAAAATTTTTAACCATTACCAAAAAAGTGGCAATGTCAAAAATATTACTGTAAATTCTGAAATTATTGCGAAAAACGACAGGGTTATAATCGCACTAATTTAAACTTGCATTTTGAAATTTACTATATGAATTAAACAGGATTTTTCTGAATATTGCAAAAATTAAATTCGCTTTTCTGTCTAAAATTACATTACAAAATCGCAGTTATTAATGCACGCAATAATTTCTGAATTTACAGTACTGGGTATAGCTTTGTATTTGTTTTATCATGGACTTGGATTCAATCAAGGACCTCATATTAGAATTTCCTAATAAACATTTATAATTAGGTCGATTATGACCTACATTTTCACTTAAGTGACACTAGATATAGTCATGAAACATGTAGTATAGCTATGATATTTGACCAGTGGATAGGTTGTGGGTAGAGCAATAGGGTAAATGATAATAAATAGCTGCGCCATGAGCGCATGATACGCCGTCACTTTTTTAAAGAATAAAGTTCAATAACTTCTCAATGTCATATCAGAAATTCATGAAAAGCTAAAGGGAGGTTATCTTAATATATATAAACCAGTCACCGAAGTTTCATGATAACTGCTTAGAGCATTGTCCGAAAACTGGAAAATCCCACTTTTTTATGAATAAAATCACATAATTCCAAAATGTAAAATCTAAAATTTATAAAAATCAAAAGGGAGCTCAATTTAATAGATATAAACAATTCACCTAAGTTTCATGAATACTGCTGAAAGCATTTTTGAGTTATTGTCTGAAAACTGGAAAATACCCCTTTTTTAATGAATAAAACCCCATTACTCGGAAACGTTAAATCTAAAATTTATAAAAATCAAAAGGGAGCTCATGTAAATAGATATAAACAATTCACCAAAGTTTCTTGCAAATTGGTGAAAGTGTTTTTGAGATATTGTCCGAAAACTGGAAAATCCCCCTTTTTTAATGGAAAAAAAACCCAAAACTCGGAAACTTAAAATCTAAAATTTATAGAAAACAAAAGGGAGCTCACGTCAATAGATATAAACAATTCACCAAAGTTTCATGCCATAAACGTGCGTATAAAAATGAGGTCACCTTGACCTACATTTTCCACATGAGTGACATGGTTAAGTTTTTTGCATTAAGGTCAATATCTCGGGTACAAAATTGTATAGCTTTGATACTTAACCAGTGTTTTGATTTTGGATAGTCCAACATGATTCACTTTTATAAAGATAATGCTGACCTACATTTTCCACTTGAGCAACTTTGTTAATTTTGTGTGTTTAGGTCTCTCTGTAAGATAATAGACATGGTATTACATTGATACTTGACTATAGCTAGTGGATAGATATCTTGGGTAGTATAACATAGTTACTATTGATAAGGTCACTTTGGCCTACAATTTCTGCATGAATGGTTTGGTTAAGTTTTTGCATTAAGACATTGAGGTTTTATCAGATATACTAGATGTGGTAAAGCAATGATTTTACTCCACCAGTTGAGATATCTTATATATTTTTTTTTTCATTGGGTCCCAACCAAATAGATTTCATAGTTATCTCATATATCATGGACATTGTATATTTGAGAATTCATTTATCTTTAATTTAATAAGGGATATATTATTTTTTAAAAGTACATTTGTAGATTTATTTTTTATCTTTTTAGATGGAGATGAAAGCCAAATTAAAGATGCTCAGGTTCTCATAGGAGTATATTCACAGCATCAACTAATTTTTCATAATATTTAGCATAAGATTGGGAAACAGATAACATTTCTGACAGGGAGAAACTCAACAGAGGCTTGCATTTCCTTTGAAATGGAAAGTATCCACCATTTAGGAACCAATTGGATCTGGCATGGGATGATGTATCAAAAAGTACAATTGCTTTTTCTACAAAATTATCATCACAAATTATTGATTTGATTTTGAATTATATTGTACCTGCACAATACAAGTCGATAAAGTGTTCTGATCTGTAGTAGGAAAGAGGAAAACAGACGAAACACAGTCAATATTTCAACAGGATGTTTTGATTGAAGCTCTTATTGATGCATACTTACTAACTTAGACATGAATAGTCATCCGACCTGGCTTCAGATCTTATCACTGTTTGCATGTATTCAGACCGTTTTCCATGTTTCTGTTTATGGCAGACTTCGCTAATATTATATGACAGTAAAATTATAAGCAAACAGCCTGAATAATTATATAACCATTTAAATGAAAATGTCTGCACCACAGTTGAACCATTCATCTGTATATTTGTTTTTATTCATGTAGGTATAAAATAAATTTTATTTCCATTTGAAATATATTTGTTTGTCTGTGGTAGTAATAGGCTAACTACATCTTACATGTCTTATTCACATGCCTCAAGTTATTGGAGATTACATTCTATGAGGAAACTTAACATTGTTGTTATGTCGACTGTTATCCCAGAAGCTACATAGGGATCACTATCTGTCATTCATGTCAGCGTCACAAAATTTAAATAACACTTTTCTCAGCATCTGCTTGATATTTGACAAAAAGCTTATAAAGATTAATTTCAATATAAAAAAATGGACCCCTTTTCTAGGTAAGAAACACCCAGTCTCAATTCTTATATGTGTATGTAATATCATCAAATACAACATGTATTTAAATATCAAGACTGAACAAAAGTGGCCATATCCATTTTAGACAACAAACAAATGCTAAAATTGTGAAGATTTCAGAAATTTTACATAAATTAATGATGATAGTACCTGTTGAATGTTCATAGTATTGTAAAAAAACAGCCCATTAAAAAATGATTTTAAAATAACTGAAGTATTCTACTTTTGAAAAGTGACTTCAATAAGTAGCGATAAGTTAATACATGTATTTTAAACAAATTGAAAAATGCTGAATTTTGGGGCTTAAAAGGGGTCTTTCCAGGCCTACTTCTGTAGTATAGTTTCAATCAAAAATAAGTTAAACTGAGTTTAATCAAACAAGATAAGCAATAAACATTATATCTGTCATTATTTTCTTATATTTTTACTATCACATACATTTGTAAAGTTTCTCTTGTAACCAATAAAAAATTCATAAATATGGCAAAATTGCCATCTTGTCCATCTTAAATTGTTATTTTATCGTAAGAAGGTATCATTTGCCGAGCACCATTTTCTTGCATTTTGTAGATAAATATATAAGCTTCATGCTGTATTACATTTAATTAAAAACAAAATATGATCTTACAAGATTCAATTTTGCTGAATCAGCACTTTTTCAAAATCATGCAATATCAACCTGCCTGTAGGGGTATTGAGAAATATCAAAACTTTGAAAACCATCCTAATTTTCTTTCATTTTAAGTTGTTTGTTAAGGTATTAGTTATCATTAAGCTGCAACTTTTCTATAATAATACAAAAAACCAGGTCAAACTACCCTACAATAGGCTTAAAATGGCCTATTGTCAGTACAGTAATGGACAATTATCGAATGTTCTGCATACACAAATAATGGCAGAATATTTTTTCAAAATATTTTGCACAAATAGTTATTACATATAAGGTATCAAAAATACAAAATATCAGTCTGATTGGATAATTTTGGATTAGGACCATTTTGCATGATTTTACCACAGACTGGCTCTTAATACGCAACCACGTCTAGTCGAAACGGGGACTTTAAATCCGATGTTTCCTTTTGGCCGTGTCCCAAACTCTCCTTGAAACAATTTGACATACCTTGCATGGCCTATCTTTTGTATAAATCGTTGGTCTGTTCTCATCCTGAATATGTATGAAATGTTTGCCACTGGACGTTGCATGAGCCAGTAATCAATTGAAATATTTTGAACAGAACCGTTTTTGTCTGATGTGGTTAATAATACATAATAATAAAGAAAAAGAATAAAATGATGGATTCTGTAAAAGGTGATCTTGATTAACAACAGTGGTTTGAATAAACTCTCAGTAAAGGATTCTGAATTTTATTGAGACAGTTGTAACATTATATAATAGAAGTTAATTACACACGTAACCCATAATGTTTTGCATTTTGATAATTAAACTTGAAAATCTCGAAGCTATTTAAAGATATGGGAGACAACTCTGACAGACTTATATAAGATGTAGTAATATATAATTACAAATAAGTAAATTTTGTGTGCACCATGAAAGACAACTCTTCAATCTTTTAAACGATAAACAGCATGCAGGTTCAATGAAAATAATAAACGTGGTTGTTTTTCATTTCAGAATTTAAGAAATGTTCCTGTACGTTATAGATTTTTTTATTTTGTTTTATTAAATTCATGAACAGATTGTTTGTCCCTAGAAGATGTATGGTCGGTACCTTAAGAATCTTTTTCTATTGATTAAGATAAATTTAAGAGTTCTAAAGATTTCACGATTAAGCAGGCTAAAGCAGCATACCAATAAGCGAACAAAAGATTTTTAGAATCATTGATTGATTGATTGTTGGTTGCTAAACGTTCAGTGGCAAATATTTCATACACGTTCAGGATGAGAACAAATACACAATAAACATAATAGGAAGGTCCTGTAGTAGAGGCCGCCTTGGATGAAGATGTGGGAAATTTGGACAGCTATTGGAAAATGAGAGTATATTGGATAGGGACAACCATTTTGCCTGGCAACAGGCCACCTACGGACCCCTCAAAAGAGTTATTGCAAGGGTTTTAAACGTGCAGGGAACGACCGCGACACTCTCTATACGAGTAATACAACGTCCCTATTCTGACCATACGTGGTTGCGTTATTGTACATCCAGCACATCCAAACTTTGGCAAGGTTGATACTGCCGGTCGGAAGAAGACATAAGTGAACATATTGATTTTGAAAATGAATATCATGGATTGGTACTAAATTTAAAAAATAACCTTGTCCAAGACACGATGAATATTTGGTACCATAAAATGCAGGACTTTGCAAAAAATAGTAACAGTTGTGTACAAAAAGTAAAACTAATAGTTGGCGCTAAATAATTAAGCCATACTACCAACAGGCTAAAATGAATATTCCATCAGCTAAAAAAAAATCCCCCCTCCGACTGAAAATCAAATGGTTCACTAAGGCTATTTGAATTTAATAATGTTTTAAATTGAGCAATTTTTGAGTTTTTGACATGTAAATTGGTAAAATAACTTAATCCATAATACTATTATATTTTGTTGTTAAATATATGCAATTTCCTTCAATATTCACTATAAAATCAATATTCTGTTACAGTAATATCTAGTTTTATGTACACTCAACCTACACAATACCTACATTGAGTATCGACTGCATGTGGTCAAAACCTGATTTAAACTACATGTAAACATTGATTTTTATCAATGGGAACGTAATAGAGTTTAGTTTAACAGGTCAGGAGCACTAGATTTCCTGACGTCAATATAAATAACAAGCTTAAGATGTGGTAATGAGTGCCAATGAGACAACTATCCATCCAAGTCACAATGTATAAAAAGTAGACAATTATAGGTCAAAGTACGGCCTTCAACACGGAGCCGAACAGCAAGCTATAAAGGGCCCCAAAATGAATAGTGTAAAACAATTCCAACAGCAAGACCAACGGTCTAATCTATATAAAGAACGAGAAACGAGAAACACTTATGAACCACACCAGACGACAATCACTAAACAACAGGCTCCTGACTTAGGACAGGTGCAAACAAATGCAGCGGGTTTAAACGTCTTAACAGGCGCCAACCTTAACCCTAACCTGAAACAGTTGTGTAACATTACAACATAAAAAGACACAGTATATATTCGCATAGTAATTTCCCAAATAGAAGGTAAACGTGGCCTTAAAAAAATTACCAATCGACTCAATGAACTACAATGCATTGTGGGCTACTTCGGGTTTACTACCACTTAAAAAACGTGGAATTAGTGGAAAAACTGTCAACTTATATAGTGTCTGAGACGCTCAAAATAAATATTTTTGTTCAGCCAATGTTCAATACACTACCACCACTCCGAGTTTAACTCAATGTGACCACAGCCTTTGTCTAATTCCACAGTAAAACATGGTCTATTGAAACGTGCAGGGAAGGTATAATAAATATTTGACTTGATAAATCATATTTATTTGACAATATAGCATTTACATATGTATGTTATTATGCAATAAACAAGATGCAGCTATCAAATGAAAAGGCATCAAGTTTTATGATAATGACCATTCAAGTTTTGAAGCAAAACAGTTTGTATTCATATAGAAATTTTAAAGTAATATAACTTTAATCATAAAAGTTGAAGTATTTCATACATGTGTTTGCATTGCTTGATACAGATAGAGAAAAACTAACTAACGTGTCAGCAAGAGCCCCACTTGTACAAAACAATTAATGTAGCCACAGACAAAGATTTTTGTTGCTTATCGCCCATTGGCAAATATTTCAGGCACGTTCAGGACGAGAACAAATTATTGATATATGCGATTAAATGGATACGAAAGGTAGGGGTCGACAGGGCTGAGGAGCGGAAAACTTCGACTGCACTGGAAACTAACAATGTGAGTATAATTATGTAGGATATGTACAAAAATTTAGCCTGGCATCAGGCCACAAAAGAACCACTTGAAAGTTGTTGCAAGGGTTCCTTAACATGCAGAGAACGTTGCACTATCTCTACACGAGCCATCAGATTGAACTTCCCCATTACGACCGGACGTGGCGCATCCCGAATAACCAAATGGACGTCCCACTGTAACAAGAGTTTTACTCTTGGAAAAAAGAAAGTCCAGCTAACCATATTTTTAACCCCAGTCAAACTTTTTGGTGCAATATAAACATACAATAGTTCTAAATTTTATAAGCTATACATATGCAATGATTCGAAACCAAAGATGTGAAATCAGATAAAATTAAACAAAAATGATATGTTTGATAATTTTGATAATTGTCGGTTCATTGATTCATAAACAAATGACTAACTAGTTTGTTTCGGAAATTTTGTTCTAAAATGTGTTAAGACATTAAAACGTATAAATACAATCTTTACTAAAAAATAGAATCTCAACACACAACTGTGTTTTTATATAATTAATCTCAAACATTTAAACCAGGCTAGAAATTTGGAATACAAATGTACTGTGTACATCTCAAAACAAAGCAGTTCAACGAAAAAAAAAAAAAAAAAAAAAAAAAAAAAAAAAAAAAAAAAAAAAAAAAACAACCAACACATAAAAAAAATGTTTATCTGAAACTATAATTCCACCATGACATTTTAAATTTCTGGTTTGCCAATAATACATTCACGAAAGTAAAGCAAGCTAAAACAAAGTGTATTGCATTGCACAATGATTAACATC